ATTCTTTAGATGGGGAGGCAATGCAGTAGGATATATTAAAAAAAAATCCTCTATAAGTGGTTGTTACTTGATTATGTACAGAAACAACCAGTTTAAGTCTGTATTTGTTTGTACTGAAGACATTGGATAATCCCAATGAATAAAATCAACGGATAATACTAAACTATTAGCTAATAATCCACTGTATAAGAAGCATCACAGGATTGAAGTCTAACCTCATGATGTCTGGGTTTTCTTTCACATACACAATAATGCAGAGTTGAAAGGCTTCCCCACAACTGTTGTATCTATTGGATCATCCAAAGTAATTAATTAAGAAGCACTTTTAAATGGCCTTTCCTTCTCAGCTGGAACATTTTAATCCCTGTCTTTTTTGGGGCTAATTCTTCAGTCAGAAACAAGAACTGTTTTATAATCATTTTACCTGTATTCAGGTCTCAATCTCTTGCTTAAGATGTCATTCATGATGAACAGTTCAGCCGTAAACTTCTGTTCACAACCCTTTCAAAGACGCCTTTGATTATAGGAAGAAGCCTCAAATTATCTGCCTGTGAAAATGGGTTACAAACAGGACAAACTGTCCTCATAGACCCTTTCCATGCTCTCAGAAAATCTGTAGGGAAATGTCAGCACATATGTGACAGGCGTTTGACAAATTTTGTGTTAAAAATCTTCAACAAAATGCTTCTTAGCAGATGCTGCTGTGGATTAGAAAATGCTTCCACATCCTAGATGTTAAGCTTCGTTTTGTTTCTGTGATTGATGAAGCAAAAGCTTTTAACAAATTGCTTGACAAGTTATTACAGATGTCCCCTCTCTGTTTAAAATTTTTGGTATATGTGTCTCCTTCTTAAAAGGCTTTGAAGAACTTGGGTTCTTCAGCAACTCTTTTGTCTTTCAGACCTAAGGACTGAGCTACTTAGAGAAAACGTCTAAAATTTCACTCAGAATTTCAAACTGTGTTTGGTGACTTGCCACCATAGCTGCCTATCACTGAACCTCCTTGTCTGAAACACTTCTCTTTTTAAGCGTGTTTGTGCTGGTGGTTACAGTGGAAGCCTCCTGGCTTGGAAACCGAGTTGTTATCTGCCTACTGTTTTAGTAAATGCTTTTTGGCTGCTTGTAAAAAACAACATTCACTACTTCAAAATTCCCACTTCATCTGAGAAATGATACATTATTTTAAAAAATGCTTTCTGTATAAATGTATCTGGATCTGAAATATTGTTGACTAGTGAAGACATATTGGTTACATAAATATAAAAATATTAAATAATACAAACAAAAATTATTTAATGAGGTGATAACATACAGTGTTTTACAGCTGTTGGATAAAAGCAACTCCCTTCCAAACTATGGTAATATGGTGTTTGAGACTATTTTCATATCATTTATTTCATTCTCTGAGTGTCCTTTTAAACACCACTGTCAGGCATGACGAGCGATGGAGGGTGAACAATATATTGACTTCTGCAGGACTGCCAGTGTGTAGTTTCTGAAAGGCTTTAAAAGTCATCATCCAGCTATTGAGAATGAAGAGAAGAAACAATAATAAATCACAGCTTCTGCTTTTCTTGTTGTTGATCAGTTGGTCTCCCGGCTGCCTGCTGCCTTTCACTTTTAGCCCCTTTTGCTGTTTGTTATCTATTTGCTCGTGCAAATTTGTTCCTTGGTTCAAACCATTATATGGATTCACTGAAACACTTCTACAGCAAGAAGAGTGGTCTTTCCCCTTGCCGTCTGGGTAGCTGTCACTGATCGATGGAGGTAAAGTGATGAATTGTTTTTAGGAGCTGCTTTCTAGACATCCACGTTTCCACATTAAATTCCACCTCCCGGGGAGGATAATTTGTCCTTCTGTTTGAAAACTGCTACTTTTGAGTACAGCCCCAGCCTGAGCAAACCATTTAATGGCCTCAAGTTGTGCCAGGGGAGGTTTAGATTGGACATGAGGAAAAATGTCTTTACTGAAAGAGTGGTGAAACATTGGACCAGGCTGCCCAGGGAAGTGGTTGAGTCACCATCCCTGGAAGTATTTAAAAGACGTGTAGATGAGGCGCTTAGGGACATGGTTTAGTGGACATGGTGGTGTTGGGTTGACGGTTGGACTCGATGATCTTAGAGGTCTTTTTCCAACCTTAATGATTCAATGATTCTATGATTCTATGATTACTGCCTTCTCTTCCAAGTGGCCACACAAGGAAGGGAAAGTTTGCCAACTGCAAAATGTTTATGTTCTTTTCCACAATTTACAAAAATGCATTTCCTCATCTCTTGTAAACTAGACCTAATCCTTATTCCTACCTAAAAGACTGTATAAAGACAGAACAACACACTTGGCATTCCTACCTCATTTCTTATCACTGCGCATAATGTCTCACACCCAAAGAGTTCTTATATTCTAGATAAAGAACATAATGTGATAGGTACATGCTTCCCAGATTTAATTTAATAGAAACGTCAATGTCATGGGAAAGATAAGTGAATTGAACAGGAAGACAGAGCATGGGTCAATACGACTATATGCATGTGCAAACCCCTCCCCAAAAACTTACTGGCAGTAAGAGAAGAAGCTAGTTAAATCTTTCAATTCAACAAGAAGCTTTGGCATTAGCAAATACTTGCTCTGTGTTAATCTGAACACCAAGGAGAATTCCAAATTATTAGTAGTTCCTTTCACATTTGCAGCCCCTGCCTTATTAAAGCACTTCCATATAAATTGTCCTTGCCATCTCCTTCCCATCCTTGCAAGAAACACCCTTCCATTTCAGTAGGATGAAAGTCAGAGGGAGTTAATCAAATTGGATCTAATCAGTTGAGGCTGAAAATATGTTTTTTTAAATCATGTTAAATGCTTGAATTTAGTTGCTCATTACTTGTATTTCCAGTAGGCAGGAAGATACAGTTGACCAAGCACTAATGATACAGTAGTTTTAGCCAGATTTCTGTACCCTTTGTACATGACGGTGTATCAGAGAAATTCACTGGGCAAGCAAATTTTGGCCTTGATGCAAACCATATTCTACAAATTAGACATAAATCTATTAAGATAAATGGAATTATATTGGTTTTGCAGCAATAAGAGTGAGGTAAAATTTGATCCACAGCCGTGGGATTCATTGGGAGCTACCTATTTATAATAAAAATATCTTAGTAGATAGAAGCATAAATGCTAAAAATAGAATGGTTACTTTTGCCAGCATTTTATCTTGTCTAGAAATTGGGGTTTTGCCTGCTGCTGTTGATGTGAAATTCCTGGAAATTGCTACTCACATCTTAGGAAGTGAAGTTCTGCCATTAAGTTTTGTGATGAGAGCAGATATATCACAGAAACAAACTATGGAAAGCAAAGAAATAGTATAGACCGAGAACCATATATACTGATGTTGTGTGCTACTCCTGTCTTTCCCTAGGTTTGTATAACCTGCCCAAGATCATTCAGCTTCTTAAAACCTGACAGCTGATTCTGAGGAATGAATGAAAAAGCTACCTGACATCTGATGGATTACACGTTTGAGGACTCTGTGTAAAGCAAGGTAAGTAAGTTCAAAGATAAGTTTACAATTGTATGAAATTGTCTGTCTTGATATGTAGCAGCTCAGCTTAGGGCTGACGCATACCAACCTCCTCTCTGGAGTAAATAAAGAAACAGAATAAAGCAAAGAAGAACTTGACTTCAATAACCAAATTCTGGGTAGCTGATGAAGATGCCAAGAAGGGTCTAAAGCCAGAAAATAATCAGTTTAATTCCTTTACTTCTCAGGGAAGGAAAAATGTGTGATGGTAGGTCCTGCAAAGGAACAAACAGAACTGTTTTAAAGAGAAAAAGGGAGCCAAAGGCTGCCAGCAGAAGAAAGGTCTTCAAGTCCCCAGAGAATGGGACTTTCTGGGGAGTAGAAGGAGCCATGTTTCTCTAGAGGAGACACTGTGATAGCTATGAGGAAGGAAGTCTAAATTAAAAGATGGGGGATACTGGAAAGATAGTGGTCCAGTCCATCTTAGCAAACAGGCATTTCAGCTCAGTTTGAATATTTCTTCTGCTTTTCAGAGAAAGTCATGGTTGATTTTGAACACTTGAAGAATTTGTGTGGGATGTGCTTCAACGTGTGGTCCTGGAGAGGTAAACCACGTCAGAGCTCCCTGGGGCTGGTGCTCTGGTGGTGCTTACGCTGACAGGGTGTCTTATGGGACCAGTATCAGTCCTGGAAGCCATGACAGCCAAACAGTGAGAGCCACAAAATGAAAAAAATCAGTCTTTTCCTAGAAAAGCACTAGAAAGTGCTAGAGAGACCAAAAAGCTTTCAAACTCAAACTCAGGAAGCTAAAGCACAATGTCCAGGAAGTTGGGTGCAAGCACAGAAATTTGGTAAGAATGCAAAGGAGGTAATTTAAAGAGGGACTACACAGATAGATGATTTTTCTTGGTTAAGAAAAAAAAAGAAAAAAAGCACATAATCTTTTCATTAACATTCTCTGGAAATAAACACAGCTGGGAATTTACTTGCTGAAGTAAAAACTCCTGTGCTGTGAAGAGCACCTAGCAGTTGGATGTATGTCAGAGAACTATTGGCTGAAGACAAGAGGATATATTGATTGTAAAGTAAATCTTTAAATACTTACCAAGGACCAAAGTAAAAATGGTACATCAGCACCTAAAGTGTGTTTCATGAAAAATTTAGGTGACAAAGTCTAAGAAAGAGATGCACAAAACCCCAGCTTTTCCTTAGGTATTGAAAAATCTGCAGGTAATTATGTTGCCCCCTGACACTTCTCTAGATGCTTAGTTTTGCCTGAGTGCCTCTAGATACTGTTACCTCCACTGGCCTGAGCATTTCTGGGATGCACAGGCGAGGCAGTTCTCTGCCGAGGTCCCCACAGCGCTTGAATCACTGGCTGTACTCTAAACGTGGCTAACGTGCAGCAGCAGGACTGCATTTAGCACAAAACACAACAGCTATTGCCGCTTCCACTTAACCCAGCTGGCGATGTCTACCTGTTACGGGAAGCTTGATATTTGGATTCAGTCGTCTTGACATCGCTCCCTCGTGCAGAGTGTTGGGGTGGAAGCAGCATACGTGGACCTTGTGTAAAGCACGGTAAGGGATTCCCCTCCATGCTGGGCAGAGCAAAGGTGGCATTTGGAGGCACAGCACCCCAGTCCGGTTGCTTTCCAGCACTCCCTGTCCCAGCACAGCTACTTAGCACCTCGCAGCCAAAGCAGTGAGCGCTGTAATCGCACAGCTGCGGCTCCTTCTTCCTCTGCCTGCACGTAGTCTTGGAGCACACATAGGCAGGGAGCCCGTACTCATGCTGCTCAAAAGGATTTATGGAGTGGCTGCTGCAGGCAAACCCGTACGTTCCTCCTGTGTGTTGCCAGCACCCAGTAATCAAACTCCACGGGTTTTGCTGATGAGTAGGTGCTGGCAGAGGAGGCTTCTCTAGATAAATTTGGCTCCTTCTGTTACTCACATTTAAACTGACCTTTATAGGACTATGAGAAATGTGTCAGGCTCTTGACATCCCCTGCACATGTCTTGAATATAAGGTGCCATCAGATACACCTGCACACCAACTAGATAGCTTTCATGAAGAGCAGCATGCCAGGTGTCTCCATGGACTTTGGAGCAAGCCAAGAATAGGGAATGGAATAAATCACAATTGTTTTAACAAAGTATAAGGTTGCATACCTGATTAGAGGACTGGAAACAATATAAAAAAAAAAATCAAATATCTACTTGAAAATGTCTCTGTTCAGACTCTAACTCAGGGTTTCACTTTAGGTGTGAGAACTATGGACACAGCCTCATAAACATTCTGCTCTAAGAGTTACTTCACATCCAAACTTTCTTTTCTTCCTATATTCCTTCTTTACTAGATATCAGTGAGTCCATCTGAATCTTCAAAGTGAAGCTGGACTAGTTCTTTATTTTTTTATCACTATGTGACTGTCAGCAAAAATGTAGAAGAGAGATTCCGTACATTGATATAGACAGGAGATCTGAATGTGCCGATTCCTCAGGAATCGGTACTGGGACCAGTTTTAGTTAGCATCTTCATCAATGACCGGGAGAAGGGAGCGCACTATAAGATCCCCAGGTTTGCAGATGACACTAAGTTTGACACCAGTGACACCAATGCTACACTGAGAGCAAGGAAGGATCTCACAAAAGTGAGTGATTTTGCAGAAAGGTAGCAGATAACTTCACTGTAGAAATGTAGGGAAACATAGCAAGAGAAAAATAACCTAAACCATGCCTATAAAATGCTGAACTCAGACCTGGCTATTTCACCATGGGAAGAAGATCTTGGAGTCATCATTGACGTTTCTCTGAAATTATTGGCTCAATGTGCAGCAGCACCAAAAAAAAAAAAAAAAAGGCAAGCCAGAAAAAGGGCACTGAAAATAGAAACAGGGCATCATTTGGCTGCTTTGTAAGACTCTTGGTGTAGACATCTTGAACTGCATTCAATTCTGGTCTCTACATCTCAGGAAGGAGATACTGGAGTTAGGAAGGTACAAAGAAGGATGACTAAAGTGATTAAGGGAATGGAGTAGCTTTTATATGAGGAGAGAACTTCTCTATTTAGAGAGGAATGTGCTGAGGATGGATATGATTAAGGGTTGCAAAATCCACGCAGTAGAAAAGCTGAATTGGGGTATGGTATTGACCAGATTCTGAGATACTGGAACTAGCACATCATTCAATGAAACAAGTAACAAACCGCTTTAAAACTTAAAGAAAGTTATTTTATACTCAAAGGGTTTTGAATGTCTAGAATTTGCCTCCAAAGGAGACCACAGAGGCAGACAGTATGAGCAAACTCAAAAAAGAATTGGACAAATTAATAGACAAAGTGTCCATGAGCAGAGAGGAATTGGAATGGGTCAGAACATACCTTCTAACATCCATATCCAACGATTGTGGATGCTGAGGGAGTACAAGGACCTGTGACTTTGACCAGGCTCACATCCCCAAATGGCATCACCTCCTGCTGGAACCTCCCGTTGGAACACAACACTGGACTAAAGGGAGCATTGGTCTCGCCTTTTTGAGAATTTCTCATGTTTTTAGAAGAACCTTGCTTTCCTGCTTGCCCAGTCAGGGTGTACATGTTACTCCAACTCTGCTGAAAATTTGGTAGGAAGGCTCCTTCCATCCTCCTCCCACCTTCTCCTTTAGTTTTGGGTTAGATGTCACATTTCTATTATGTTCCTTAGCCGAAGTATTATTTCAAGCTAGAAAATCCTTTTTACCTTGCTTCATTACTTAATAAAGCATATATGTTAGAAAATAACTACTATGAAAACATCTCAGAAACATCTAATTAATCAGCTTCCAGCATTTCACAGAGAGCAAACATGATATATTTGCTGACACAATGAAAAACAACACTGAGATGAGGGAGGCTGGGCTGACTGACATCACACACGTGATTAAATTCTGGGTAATTCCTCCCAACAAGTTTTGATGTGAGAACTAATCTGTTTTCATAAAATTATTAAGGGATATTAGCAATTCAGGATTATTTTACTACTTGTCAATTTAAATTTGAGTACAGGATTCTGTGTCTAAAAATATATAGCTTGAATTGCAAATCACTGTAGTGTCTCCATACATTATTAAGGTACATATTTCACTTCAACACAGAATAATCATGACTACACACACTTCAATTTTTGTTCACAACTCAACTACGAAAATACATAGTGCTGTGTAGATGACCTCCTACATCTCTTGCCACAGCCGAGGCCTTGGAGCTTGTGAGGAAGAGGATGTGCAGTTCTTGCATTCTTGTCTTTCCACAGAACATTCACAATTTCAGTTAAAGACTTTGCTATTTTTGCCTTGGAACAATTGAGTCTGAGGAGATCTCTGATGATTTAGGCAAAGACACCATTTGCTTTGCAGCAAGGAGTACTGTTCAGCACGAGGAACAGTAACTGCTTTTTTCAGGGACTTTGCTCACTGCAGGTTTATTGAAAGCATCGATGCCTATGCTATTCTCTTACTTTGGTACATGACAAAATGCAAATTTAAAAAAAAACCTGCCACCTTTTATATATCCCCATAAAAAGCAAATGATAAAAATCTGAGTTCATCCTTTTAAGGAAACTGTGCAATTACGTTTCTTATATTACAAATAAATATTGCTTTACTTTCTTTTTAGTAAATTGTGAGTCTTTATTATGGCATCCTCTAATTCATTCTATTTTAAATAGGTTGAAGTGACAGTTTTTAAACTCAGCAGTGTGAGGGCAGTAATTCAGCATCATAACTTAATGATGTGAGCAGGTGTGAGGAAATGACAGATTTATTCCAGTGCTGTACAAGTAGGCACATGCTAAAGCATCCTGCTCAAGGATCAGGTCTTCCACAATGTAATGATACCGACTGGTAGAGTATAGATGTCTTTAAAATGAAACATCCTTTACTGCTTTGGCTTGTAAGATGCTAGTACATAATTTAAAAACTTCTGAATTCCCCATTTTACACAACCCTTTGTTGCAGCAGTGCTCTCTTTGGAGTGAGGCAAAGCATACACTGCTGCCTGCACTGATCCCCTGACAGCTGGATCAGGCATACAAACAATTTTGTAGGATGAACTCATTTAAAAACTTAAAGCATGGGTTGACTGCTTTGAGTAGGAAGGTATGTTTGTGAGTATTTGAGCTTTTCTACCCACTGCACTGGCTAACGAAAATCTAGGTTCCCACTACCGTTTCCATAAGCTTCTCCTCCAGGATTTACACACCTACTACGTATTTTCCAAGTGTCTCTAAAACACATGCTTTACATAACAAATAGAAATTAACTATCAGTTTTGAAAAGCTATAATATACTTCTATTTCACTGTGTTTATTAGAGGTTTGCCACGTACACTTCTTTTAATTTGTATATTTAGACATGAGAACAGCCATAGCTGTGAGAACAGAAATAATAAACTCCTTCAGGAAATCATTACCTATTAAGAGAAATTGAATGTAATGCACACCAAATAAGAAAATGAAGGCATTATTAGCATTGGTGAGACACAGGCTTGAGGATCTTGAAGCTTCAATGCCCAGTCTTGAGCTGCACCGCTATTCTGAGGTACAACATACCGACTTCAGCAGTTCTTGCTCAGAGACCTCACTGCATCGAGCCTTGCTAAATGCTGCAGCAGTGCTCTCTTTGGAGTGGGGCAAAGCATACACTGCTGCCTGCACTGATCCCCTGACAGCTGGATCAGGCATACAAACAATTTTGTAGGATGAACTCATTTAAAAACTTAAAGCATGGGTTGACTGCTTTGAGTAGGAAGGTATGTTTGTGAGTATTTGAGCTTTTCTACCCACTGCACTGGCTAACGAAAATCTAGGTTCCCACTACCGTTTCCATAAGCTTCTCCTCCAGGATTTACACACCTACTACGTATTTTCCAAGTGTCTCTAAAACACATGCTTTACATAACAAATAGAAATTAACTATCAGTTTGAAAAGCTATAATATACTTCTATTTCACTGTGTTTATTAGAGGTTTGCCACATACACTTCTTTTCTAATTTGTATTTAGACATGAGAACAGCCATAGCTGTGAGAACAGAAATAATAAACTCCTTCAGGAAATCATTACCTATTAAGAGAAATTGAATGTAATGCACACCAAATAAGAAAATGAAGGCATTATTAGCATTGGTGAGACACAGGCTTGAGGATCTTGAAGCTTCAATGCCCAGTCTTGAGCTGCACCGCTATTCTGAGGTACAACATACCGACTTCAGCAGTTCTTGCTCAGAGACCTCACTGCATTGAGCCTTGCTAAATGCTGCTCAGTTTTGCTATTTAAGTAAATGGAATTTGTGTAATCTGATGGGTTAAAAGCTACAGAACCATGGTTTCACATAAGTGGCAGGTGGTAGCATATGTTGGGGAAGCAGGAAAGGAAGAGGATGCAGAAGGTGCTTGGTGTGAGCTCAAATGACCTGGTGTAGAGAGCTTAGATCTGAGTCCAAACATCCCAGCATTAAGGTTGAAAAAGACTGGGACTTGGATCTCCAGGAACACAGACTTGACAGATGCTGGATCTATATCAGCATTGGGCATCTTTTACCAAATCCTTTATACTTTCAGGTGATGGCAAATTTGAGCGCGGGACTCCAGGGCAGGTGGGTCCCACCTACCAAATTCTGTCTGAGCCCTGTTGCTGTAGTTACACCAGCATTGCCAGCATAAATGCAGAAGTTGTCAGCTCTACTGACAAAAAAAAAAAATGTAGCTTTCTCAATTCACATGGAAATTTGACAAGCATTTATCTCAGTGGCAATGGCAGCAGAAGCAGCTCTTGCCCACTTAACCCTGGCGTTGGCTTTCTTGTTCTGCCAGTGCAATTGCCTGTGGCCAAACACTGATCCAGAGGAGAGGTTAAAAGTAACCCTTTTGTCAGAGTATTTTTAACCAGATGAGTTCCTTGATCCAGCTAATTGCACAGCCCCACAAGAACCAGGTAGGTGGGAGAGAAGAGGTAGTGCTGGGTGTTGGATGTGGAAGGGATTCGGGGCTACAGGGTGCAGCACTGCCTCAAGCATGATGCGCAGCGTTAGGGATGTTGTGTTTCCACCAGACCAGCTCCTAGTGAGTAAGTGATTCATCAAATGCTTTTGGTTTTGGATATGCTGTCCTCTCATTCCTGGAAACTTGTTTTCTGAAGGTATGCTTCCTTCAGTCCCTGCTCACCAAGGGAAGCTGAGAGAGCTGAGCTCTTCCAGTGCTGCTGCTGGTGCTGGCAGAGCTCCCCTCTGGAGGACGGGAGAGAGCACCGTGGCCTTTTCAAATGGGTGTTGCTATGGGCAACTGTATATAGGAGAATGTAGGCTAGAGGCAGAGAAAGCCAGGGGGATGAAGTAGAAACAACAGCCCAGCAGGAACAGCTCTCAGAGCGGGTATAAATGCTGATGTAACGGCAACTCAAGCAGTCTGCCAGCAATTGCAAAAAATCACAGCCAACACACCAATGGGCTAAAAGTTATCACTCCTGGCAGCAGATGTGAGTTTTCATGCTTCCTAAAATGAGGGCGTGGAGGTGCCTGTTCCTCTGAGGACGAGGAGCAGACGGAGAGTTGCAGAGACTCAGCAAAGCAATCAGCTCTGCACCTTCCTCTGCTGTCTTCCCTCCTCTCATGAAAGAGGAGGAGCTGACATCTGCTGAGGGAGAGTTGTCCATCACGATCAATTTACTACCTTCCTCACGTCTAGATGGGCACAATTTTTTTTTTTTTTTAATTTGGAACCATCAGGGAAATTCATGTTTAGTTTCTCTTAAGGCACTTGCAGAGTGTCTGACAGGCACTTGCACAAGCCAGTTGAATCTGAGCGGTTTAGTTGTCCAGGAAAAGAGCAGGTAACCTTCTGTGCAACCCTTCATTGAAGAAAAGCGTTAGTTCTTCCCGTTAACACAGAAGGTAGCAAAAACAGCTATTATGCACCTGAGTTTAAAAGCTGACTTTCACCTCCAGTTGCTTTGCAATTGCATTTAGGAGTCTAAGATGGACAACTCCATGCATACCACCATGCCTCAGTTTTGGTAACCTTCCCATGACTGTATAGCACCGAGCCAGAAAGCACTGTGAAAGCCAGGTATCAGGTATGCCAACACTACTGCTGGAAACCCATGAAAGAACTGTTTTCCTTTGTGTTCTCCAGTTCGCCTTCCCCTGCTGCCCTGCTCTCACCCTCGGATACTGGTGCAGGGCAGCCAGGAGTGCAATACTGCCACTTTCATCTCAAAGGCCACCTGGACAATCAAGTCATTGATTTTTCTTAATTTAGTATCCCATCCTGTTGCTGTTGCCTTTCTCTTCCCACATCCAAGATAAAATATTACCTTGCTTGCCTGTTTTACTTTTCCTTAGGCGCTTTGCTGATGGAGGTCCAGCCAGCTCAGGAGGAGGAGGCTGAACCAGGACATTACACAGCTAGGCTCCTTTGGGACACACTTGTCCAGATTAGACTCCATCCACCTCTGTCTTATACAAAGGCAGTTTGGCTAAATTAACCTTTTTTTCAAATACGAATTACTCACTTTTTAACACAAACCCAAATGAGACTAAAGTCTCCTGGGATTTCATTCAGCCAAACGTTATTCATGCGCAGCTTTGAGTTTCACACATTACGACATTTGTTTCTAAGGCAAGAAATCAATTGCAAAGATATATAAGAACTTACCCTGAAATTTGCAAGCAGCTTTTTAATTTCATATCATTTATTTTAGTCTTCTATTTCCCAGAGGATATAAGCAAGGTCTATGAAGAAGTGATAGAGAAATAGTAATTGCCAGTTTATATTTCATTGCCTTTTTTTTCAATGGAGGATGATTTTATCCAAGCCCAACCTTAATAAATTGAACTAAATCATATCAGGAACTGTCACATCTTCAGGTCTCCAATTATTTTCTAGCATCATTAAAAAGATACAGTAAAAAGTCTGCTAGCACCTCATGGAAAAACCTGAGACATCTTCTAATTATGTGTGATTCTACCTGAAGACAACATCCAGCTTTCGAGCCCGTTTTTTTCTCTTCTCACATTTGATAGAGGCATAGTTTGCTAGAAACCAACAATCTCCTTTCTTAAAATTTTAAGCTTCTCTTCCCTGCTATTTATGTGCACGTAAACTAACTGGAACATTGCAAGAGAGAATTATAGCTTTATATAGGAAATACAGAACAGGACAAGATTTCACTTTAAAGCAGATGTACAGCACATGCGCAGCCACAGATGAAGCACTGTGTTTTAGCACACTGGATAAGATGCAATTATTCACACCAATAATTAAGAAGGAATAATTAACATTTCCCACTGTAGAACAAGTGAACAATTCCATCACTACAAGTGGAGTCTTGCTAATTTAAAGTAGCAAGATGCAGGAAACTGCCATATTTGCTCCTCATGGAAAGGTAAGCATATCTCCATGGGTGATGGACACTATTGAGTCTTATTCCCACACCCTAAAACTTCTCTTTTTCTGACAAAGCTTTTTCCTGCCTTCCAGGATGAATCCCACTGAATGTCAATGAGCAATATTGAACTGCTGTGAAAAGATGCTTCCTTTTAGCTTGACAGATAGAAATCAGAGCCTTGCAATAAAATGTGCACAGATGGTGTGGGGCTTATGCCTTGAAAAAAGTGAAGCAGTGACAGGAAACAGGAACTTCAACTCTTTTAAAAAGAAAAACAGTTGTTGATCACACATGCAGTGCCATCAGATAGTGAGTGAGTGTGCAATGTGTGCAGTGCAGCTGAGTTTCAAACACACAGACTTCCCCTTGAGTTTCTCACCAAAAGGTGAATGACTGAAAATATCGTCACTGCTTTCAAAAACTTACACATTTGCTTAGTTTATCCTATGGTGGGAAAGGAAAAACTGTTCAAATCTGAAAGGGAACGTATTATGTAAGGTAGAAGGTTATGTTTAAAGCAATAAAATTATTTTGATTAAGAAAAATAATATATAGTTGTTTACTTTCAGTTATATCAATATTCTTGCTGGCAATTCTTCTTGACATGGGAAGGTAATGCAACCTTCAGCAGGCAAAAAAACCCTTCTTCATAAATTCTGAATGAAAGAATCCCTAACTGTAAATGCTGATAGACAAATTCTGCCTTAAATCCAATAGCTAAAACAAACCATCGAAAGCCTGAGCTGGCCAAACCATACAAACCAATCTGCTAGATTTGCTGTCTTTAAAATCACTTTTCTGTTCCTCATCCAGTCACAAAAGCATCATATACGCTCCTTTTTCATAAATTAGAATGAACTCAAGACTTTCCTTAGAAAACAAGTTTCGTGATGCTCTACTGTTCCCATGACTCTTTCCCAAAACTTTATCTTCTCCCTTGGAGAGCAAGGTTCACTGGCACTCAACACTGTGCAGTTGGAGTGGAGCTGCAACCTCCCTACCTCTCACTATCTCCTTACTGAAACAGGTAAAACTAAGCCCTGGCTCTTTTAGCTGCAGAAGCCCATGCAGGCTGCACGCCGAGTTGCTGACCATGCTAACCCCCAGAACGGCTGAGGAGTATTTCCATGCTGCAAATACCAGCTGCAATGTTTGTTGCAAAATGCACGGCATATCCCATTTGCCTTCACTGAAAAGCGTGCTGCATGCTAGTGCTCTTTACCCAGTAAAACCGTCAGATACTCAGGAACTAACCCGGTCACACGGGTTTCCACCTCCTTTTAAGAACATGCATATCTCCTCCACCAAAGGAGGAGCCTGCTCTCCTCTTGCCATTTCCCTATTCTTTGAATGTAGTTTGACGCAAGAAAGACAAAGCATAGACTTGACGGAGAGACAGAAACCTGGAGAAGAGTTTACTAATACATCTCAGGTGTCCTATTTAAAAAAATAGATAAAGTGAAAACCCCAAGCAATGAAGCAGGATATTAAAGAGAGTCTGTCATAACAAATGACCATCAGTGCCCTGACATTACTTGCTCTCAAACCAGGTGAGGCCATAGGCAAACGTTTCTCTATAACTATAAAGCTGAATGGGGTAAGCAAAGAAACTGTTCCATCGGGTTAAAAGTACAAAAACCCTCTGCACTTGGAGTAAAATCTCAGCTTGTCAATGGCAAAGCATCACCTTGAAAACCGAAGCAGCTAATGAAAATGATGATTAACAAAGGCTTTAAAACTGGTATTTATTTGTACTTTTCATAACTCATAAACTTGAATATTACATTCCATTACGTGTGTGATTAAACTGAATCGTGCTGCAGTTGTATTAGATAATTAAGCATTTTTGCCTAATTTGGCAGATGTTTAAACTGAGGCACAGGAGAGGCAAAGCCTGTCTAGCAACTAATGGCAGAACCTCAAATAAATGCTAAAAGTTTTTGACTCCCATTTCTTTAAGCAACTTACAGCACTAATTCCTTGACTAAGCAGCTGTTCCATGAGTATATAGTGAATGCTTATCAGGAAAACATATTAAAGTACTAAATGCAACAAAAAGACTCTGCAACTCATATCATCTAAGAGATTAATCACATTGGCTTAAGGCATCTCATGGTAGTGCACAGCTGACCTCTAACTGACTTCCCATGGACAAGTTATTCTACATTTGACTCCAGGTACCACTTCCATTGCTAAAGCTTCAGTACACTGTTGCTGTGGCAGAAAGGATGAACTGCAAAAGGCCATGAACAGCAACGGCCTTGCATCTTTCCAGTCCATACACTGTGATATTCCCGCATTTCCAGCCTCCTTGACGAGGCAGCACGTTAACCCTGCAACACAGTTAAGACTTCCGCCTGACCAGGTTTGGAGGCCGGTTTCAGTGGCTGCCCTCACCCTTGTGTGCTGTTCCCCGTGTCAGCATCACCTAATTACCTCTGTGGTTTTAAAAGAGACCCAGGCATTGATGTTCAAATATTCTGCCTGTTACACAGTACAAGGCAATATACTTAGCATGGGAGCCCTGCACTGGGTCACAAACTGGAAGAGATTGTAAATGGCATTAAATAAAGGCGAGAGCATGTTTTTAAAATTGCATTTGCTTCACTACTCTTGTGCTTCCCAAGCAATAGAGATATGGCATTATGGTGTCTGCATTCCCAACATAGTGTATCCCGCCTCTTAAAATAACCAGATAACTAGTCTTCAGAAAGGGAAGGGCTCCTTGCCGATTGACTATAAGACAAATTGGCCACAGAAAGTTTCCTTCTATGTAAGTTAGAGAGCAGTTTAGACCCCAAAACATAACTATTTACACAGCTTATTAGAAAAAACCTCTGAAAAATTGTCTCTATTTGTGTATATTCTCATTAGTGATGCACAAATATCCACATAGGAAAATTTTACACTTGCCGAAGAGTTTGGTCTAGTGCTATGTTACTCCTTTCTTATGCCTTTGTAACTCCATTACAAAAAAAACTGTTTACACTGGGGAAACACAATGATGAGTCAGACACCAAGACAGCAAATTCAGTGACATATAAATGTGCTGTAAACAACAGATGTAAAACTTTGCACAAATGACTCAGTATCTAGCAAACAAAATAAATATTATCTGATAGGGATAACAAAAACTTGGGGGAAAAAACCATCAAAACCCCCAAATAATTTTAATAGCCTAGTTGAGTAATAAGCTACATAATATTTCAGCTACATTACTTTTATGTCATGTAGAAAAAATCTGAAACATTTAGTGTTCTGAAAGCTACTTGTTGGGCATAACTTTTCCATTAAAATAAAGTTACATGGTATTCCAGAATTTAAAGTGGGATCCTTGTTAAATCAAGACTTCTAACCCACTGAAGTTATTAAATTGGCTAAAATATATCATGTAGTAGGATCTGCATAACTGCTAATAAAATATTCCTCATTGACTCACAATATATTCAAAAATCTTTTCCTGTGCAAGAACCACATCTTACTAGAAGACAGGTTTCATAGATGCCTCTTCTACTTGTGACTGAGCACGTCAGGTCTCTCAGCATTTGTAATCATAGTACATCCCCGTGCCCAGCTTGGCACAATTGCAAACTTGGAAGGAAATAACAAGAAAAGATTCACAAGACTTTTAATTGCCTTGAACACAACTTAACAGATCAAAGTAGCTAGAACATTTAACAGCAAGCATCTTCTAGATCACTGCTGATTCAAAACCACAATCTGACAGCTAACGGTTAATAAAATTTCCAATTTTTTTTCCATGATATTAATCTTAAACTTTTTCTTGCTTAATTTTACTATTTTTACTATTAATCATACTCTTTTTCATGCTAAGTAAATCAACCCCTCCCATATGTTTACATTTTCAAATATTTATAGATTGTCACCAGATTATCCTGTACTATCAAATATTGTCCTGGTTTCGGCAGGGATAGAGTTAACTTCCTTCCTAGTAGCTGGTACAGTGCTGTGCTTTGGATTTAGGATGAGAACAAAGTTGATAACGCACTGATGTTTTAGTTGTTGCTAGGTAATGCTTACACTAGCCAAGGGCTTTTTAGTTTTCCATGCTCTACCGACTGAGAAGGCTGGAGGTGCACAAGAAGCTGGGAGGGGGC